CGTTTGGTCAGTGTCCGTGGCGTCCAGTTGTGACGCTCCTAGGCTCCTTCAGCGTCATAAAGGGACGCAAATAGCTTTCAACTGATTGCAATGTATTCCCATCTGCGGCGGGATTTGACGCTCATGGAAGCACGGCATTCGTTTGTGTCGGCTGCCCTTAAAGGCAATGTGAGCGTCCATTCCCATTGGATAACGAAGAATTGTACACCCGGAAGTAAGTATTCCTCTTACTGTCGATTGATTTTACAGTGATATCTGCACTACTCATCGACTAAAAAACACCAGATTATCCTTGTTAATTACACAACATTGATTGGTTTAAATTGTGTGCAATGCTTTTGTATTTTTCCCCTTCGATTCGGAGAAACAAATGTTTTTTCTGAGTAAAGGATGGCAGAAGACAATACACTACCCAGAATCCCCAGCTATCGTTTGGCATGTGCTCTGTTTGACAAACCCCGTGATAGTCCTCAAGCTCTGTGATTGGAGAGTGTGCTCCGAGGGTTACGCCGATTCTCGAACAGCACTTGAAATGGGATGGAACCATGCACGGCAGACTGTCCAAAACTGGATTTGAACGGGTCCACCGCGTCCCCCCCCCCTCCCCCACCCCATCCCCAGAACTACACATGCTGGCTATTCTGTTTCGCAACATGTTCTCTATCTATGGCACGTCTCTACTGGGAGTTGTAGTTTTAAAAGACGTTTTCGTATTTCCCATAATAAGAAGTTGCCAGTATTAAACTGTGTACATCCCTGGAGGTTTAGGGGATAGGAAACACTCAAATTGAAAACATATAATTAATAAATGGGTGAAAATTGCTTGTGCCCATAATGGGCAGCATTAATATATATACACACATGCCAGCTAAGGTCAGAAGAGCTTTATTTAACAGCTGGTCTTATGTTTGTGACCCCTGTTGTTAATTGATAACATTACATTACATTCATTGATAAACCTGAAACATGCACTTGTCAAGGTTCAGAGGCACATTTTGCAAATATGGCAGTAGCCATCGATCAGCTTAAAATAAGATATACTTTATTGATCCCAAGTTGGAACATTTGCGTTACATCAGCATGTGTAACAGTTGTAAATATGCAGTGGTGTTTATTTGTAAATCATTTAGTATAATCACACAAATTCTGCAACTTTATTGTGTAAATACAGCCTATCTACCAATTGGATCAAATATAAAAGTCAGCCGAATTAGTGTTGATACTGCAAGGAGACGTATTGTGTGAAAAGAAATGTAAGATATTGTTTAATGGCTGATATATTTATGATCCACGTCACGTTTTCAGTTCCTCATGTTTGTCTAGAAGTCTTCTCATCAGGGCTCTATAAATACAGAACTACGGCAGATATGTAATATTTAATGCAGCCGAACCGTGTATTACAATGCCGTTATGTGATGACTTTCAAAGAGAAAAGCAAGCACACTCGGAATAAAGTATTATTTTATTTTAAAAAAAGTTTTCGGTCTGTTTCCGGTATTTGTTAATGACGATGTGATGTGAGATGTGAGACTGAAATTGCACAGGGGAAAATAACGTAGGCTATCTTTAGATGCGGATTTTGTTAAACTAATATGTTTGCGCTGTGGACCAACACTATACATTGACGGGGAAGGGGGTAGCAATAAAGATAACACCATTAAACAGTTACACAACATAACAGAAATAATATCGATAGCAGCGTCCCTAGCAACCACCTTGGTAACAATGAAAACGTCGCGATTTCCTGAAGTAATCTTCGTAATAACTAGCAAACTAAAGATCATGGACATCCACTGCACACATAATCTGAAATAACAACTCATATTTCTCGCATCAAATGACATCAAAACGCATTTTAATGGCCAAACTAACTTTAAAATTGGCATTTTCCACCGAGAATAAAACGAAGTTCGGCCATGTTTTCTTTTTCTGCAGGGAGAAATTTGAAGATCACATGACATAGACGCCAGCCATTGGAATGAATAGTGAAAAAAACGGGGTTTGTCAAACAGAGCCCATGGTGTAGTCCAAACGATAGCTGGGGATTCTGGGTAGTGTAGTGTCTTCTGCCATCCTTTACTCCGAAAAAATATTTGTTTCTCCGAATCGAAGGGGAAAAATACAAAAACATTGCACACAATTTAAACCAATCAATGTTGTGTAATTATCAAGGATAATTTGGTGTTTTTTAGTCAATGAGTAGTGCAGATATCACTGTAAAATTAATCGACAGTAAGAGGAATACTTACTTCCGGGTGTACAATTCTCCGTTATCCAATGGGGAATGGACGCTCACATTGCCTTTAAGGGCAGCCGACACAAACGAATGCCGTGCTTCCATGAGCGTCAAATCCCGCTGCAGATGGGAATACATTGCAATCAGTTGAAAGCTATTTGCGTCCCTTTATGACACTGAAGGAGCCTAGGAGCGTCACAACTGGACGCCACGGACACTGACCAAACGTCGCTCCTGGACGTTTAGGGAGTGAGAGTGTGTTGAATACCTACCCAAGACCAGCAGTGTCACTTTGTTGCCAGTTTTTGTGCTAAGCTATGCTAACCAGTGTATTGCTGTAGCTTTATACAGTAGCTAACATACAGACATGAGAGTTGTATTAATGTTCTCATTTCACTCAATAATAGAAAAACATATGCTTATAATAACTTTTGTAATTGATGGGGGATGGTGCAGAGTTAGATAATGTGCAAAACATGACTTTTTTTTTTAAAGCTCAGCTACACTCATTTAAAATCAATTCTTGGCTGCAATAACGCTTTCATGAAGCATCCATCTTCGTGTTGGGTTTTTAACATGGACTGTATATAGGTTTTTAATAGATCAGAGGGTTCTCTGTTCTCTTCAGGAAGCAACGAGCCCCTCAGCCAAGTGCTGAGCTTAGCAATGCTGATATTTTTTGGTTTCCCGCCAAAAGTAAGAGTTGCTTCTGACAGACATATGGAAACCAGATGGTCCGTTACCAAAACAAGTCTTTCAAGGTTCTAACCAATGTGTGTAATCAAGAGATTGTGGCTTACACACCAACCTGTCAACTGAAGATAAACAACCCAGTCTTGTATGTTGAACCATGCATAATGTAACACAATACCTACAGTATGTAATTTAGCCCTTTGTGTGTCCTTGACTCTCTGATTGTTGTGGATATTTCTCTGTTGTTTGTTGCCTCGCGCTATGTTTGCGTGCATCATGCACCAGTGAAAGCTGCCCAGACATATCCATCTACAAAATGTGAAAGTGTGTGCAGTATGTTTGCATGTGTCTGAGTCGGCCAGGTCGATTAAGGAATGTTATGGGAAATTAAAAAGGCCTGTGAGGGAAACAGGCCAGTCGGTGTGGCTGTGGCATTTGAAAGTGGGGGCAGTTTTTCCGAATTGTCGACTGTTCACCGGCAGTCACCTGCTCACAATTAGACCTGGATGTCTTTCTTTTTCTCTCCTTCTACGGCCTCAATAATCATTGTCCAGACGTGTGTCACCGACTGGAAGCAGAGCAATAAATTGCATCTCAGAAACACACTTCTACGTCAAAGAATTTAGCTTTATGGTTTTTCTTTCCAACATGCAGCACATTATTTTCAATACGACATAAAACTCTCTCAGAGTATCCTCTTGAGCTACTTATTCAGTTTGTGATCCTTCATCTTATCTCTCAAAGCCTTCAAGAAGGTTTATACAGCTTTGATTAGTCTTGTCAGTAGTGCTCTAGATGTAGTTTGAGATCAGTTTAGGACTAGATTTTAGACTAGTTAAATAATCTTTGATTTGACTGTTTGATGCATGTGACGGCCCAGCCTGTGTGCAGGTGTGTTACAGGTCTTACGGTGGGGTGGAGCTGAAGAGGCCAATCAGCGCGATCGCGGACACCTGGCCGGAGCCGAGGTACCATTAAGCCCAGCTGCCCGGAGTCACATGGCGGCCCTGACTCTCTCCAAGCCGGCCGCAGGAGGAGTATGATTCCCTCATAGGATTCCCTCTGAGGACAGTGTGTGATGTATGTGGCCTTATATGGTGTTGTGGATGCACTCTACGGGTGCCTAGGCGTTATTTTGGAACGCGTATGGTCCCAGGTTTGTGGGATTTGATGAGATGTGTTTTTGTCCGATAGCGGTGATCTGTTCTCTTGAATATTCGCTGAAAAATAGGAGGTAGTGGTCCCGCCTGTGTATACAATACCTGTAGGAGTGTTTCCCCTGGTGGGTTCAAGAGGCGTTTCCCCTTTGGGTTTCGTCTGGGGGGGCTTTGATAGTGTTGAGGTACGGCGGTTAGAGCTTCACTTTCCCTTTTCCCTTAACTTGCTCGGGAGCACTTCCGTGGTTCAGGGGGGTTGCCGATTACCTGGTCGCCTCTCTCGGTCCAGCGGGCTTTAAGTGCATAAGTACCCACCGCTACGCCTCATGAAGACTAGGGGGGGAGTTATGTAGTAAGTTTGTGATTAGGAAGTCAGCTAGCGGGGCTGCTCATTCCTACTGTGTGCACAGGTGGGCTAAGAAATTGCATTTCCTCTGTGTAAATAGCTATTATTGGGTAAATATGGAGGATATTGTGGGGGCGTTTGTGGCTGCACCTTCTGAAGGTTTCTTGGATCAGTGCACCAAGGATCAATTGGTGAACATAGCTCAGTATTATGGGTTTGAAGTTGGCGATAAAAGAGTGAAAGAGTCGGTGAAAGCGAATTTGAGGGCTTGTTTGTTGAAAAGTAAAGTGTTTGATACTCCTGTCCCCGGGCGCACAAAATAAATGGCGGGTCAAAGTGCGGTTTCGAGCAACAGAAGGAGTTACTCAGATTACGCTTAGAGTTGGAGACGGAAAAGGAGTTGGCCGTGGAGAAGATGCGACAGGGCATTGAGCTGGTGTCCTTGGAGAAATTGAGGCAGGAAACTGAGCAGGCTAAGTTGGAGTTTCAGAGGGAGAAACTGGAATTAATTAGAGAGGGCAAAGTAGCGGCTGATGTCCTGTTACCTGATTATTCAGCTAGTCAAAGCGGGGCCCCAGGGAGGTCAGTGGATGACTTAAATGATTTGAAGTTGGTTCCCAGGTTTAATGAGAAGGATCCGGAATTTTTTTTTCAATGTTTGAACGTCTCGCAGGTGTAAGGGGGTGGTCTGAGGCCACTCGCGTGTTATTGTTACAGTGTGTGTTAACCGGGAGGGCTCAGGAGGCTTATTCATCTTTAAGTGCCAGTGACTATTTGCGCTATGATTTAGTTAAATCTGCCGTTCTCAGGGCTTACGAGCTGGTGCCTGAAGCTTATCGTCAGCGGTTTAGGAATTGGAAGAGAGGTGTTAAATCCAGTGGCGAGCCGTGACTTTTCTACCTAGGCCCTCTGACCCCACCCCCCTCTTCCCTCGAAAAAAAAAAGAAAAAGTGTTTACGTCACAGCCTATAGTAGACTTCAGCGGAATATCAAAACAGCGGCCCGGGGTGCAAAATGCATCAATGACAGCGACCCTCTACCACACAAAACAACACCATTTATATAAACACCTATCATGACAGGGCACCCACCCACAGCCAAGTAACAATTACAAAGGAATTAAGTCGGCACGGCGGCCCACATTGAAAATCACTTTGACTTACCTTTGATGATCAAATCACCTAAACACAAAGTCCATCCTCCTGTCTTTTTGGATGAAGAACTTGATGGCGTCGTCATGCAGGTGATCCTTTGCTTTTAAAGCAATCAGCAATTCCTTCTCGATCGAAATTAAGGCCAAGTCTGACAGTCGGACTTGCCCAGTCGTGGACCTCGAGTAGCTTTTTATGCGCTTCAGCGCAGAGAAGGACCTCTCCACAGAGGCAGTGGACACAGGTATTGTCAGGATGATGCATGAGAGGGTGTACACCTGTTTCATGCTTTCACTCAGTCCTTTTTTGAGGAGAAACTGATGAATGTCGGCTGGGCTTTTCCCCAAAATGTCAGACATGCCGTACATCACGGCGAGTTCCGTGTGCAGTCGAGGCTGGTCGAAATATCCGCCATAGCTCTCCATCAAACTGTTCAAGGCAGCAGTTGGGAAATAGTTACAGTAATGCCCGAACTGTTGCGGGTCCAGAAGGGCCAGGAATTCCAGCTTTTTGTGGTCACTGAAGCGGTTGGAAATCTGGGTTAGCAGGCTGTCAATTACGCTGCAGTGGAGCTCCCTGTACCGTGCACGAACGTCTCCTTGAGCTCCACGGCCGCGCGGAGGACCAACCAAAGCCTGGGTTTCATCGTAGACGCTGTCAAAGTTCCCCTTCTCCTGTTCAATTTGTCGCTGTAGCTGATCCACTCTGGCCAGGCAGAACTGCATATCAAAACCTTTGTTCTGAAGTATTTCAAAAACAACATCCGAGTAGGAGAAGATAGCGTGGAAGGTTTTCAACCAAAAGCTGAAATCGAAGCTGGTAAGGAGGCTGATGTATCCATCAGAGCAATGAACAGTTTCGTCATCAAACTCTGTGTGATGGTCTACGATGTGCTCGAACACCTACGAGAGTAATGCTTAGTTTAGAAAAAACAACTTATAGACCTCCAGTAAACACTAAGATTAGCTTTTCATTTAATGTAATACTAGCATAGTTCTTTACCTTCATGTTTTTATGAGTGGGTAGTTTCCAACACTAAATCATTTATTTATTATTGTTAATATTTCCATTACGTTCATTGTTATTATTATCTTACCTCTCTCAATTCCCTGGTCTTATCTGCCACTGTGCACACCAAGCAAGAATGAAAGCACCAGCGAGTAGGAGCTGCCCGTGGAAGCCTATGCTGGCAAATATCATCCAGTAGCTTGGTGCGCTTTGCTGAGCGGCTGAAAAAGGTGGCCAAGCCAGAGAGGTGGGAGAAGAAGACCTTACACTGTCTTATCTTGGAAGCTCCATTTGACAAAACGAGATTTAAGATGTGAGCATAGCAGTGAATGAAAAGGGCCTGTGGAATTGTTTCCTTAACTTTCGCTTGCACCCCATTCAATCCAGAGGCCATAACAGCTGCTCCATCGTAGCACTGCTCGACCACTTTGTCAATACAGCCACTCTCCCTCAGGAACTCCAGCAGCCGTGTAGCTATGGCCTCTGCTCGTTTGTCCTCTGTCACATCTTCGTACTTGAAGAAACGCTCTTTTATCCCATCGTCAGTGACATATCGAAGCACATATGACATCTGCGCCACGTTGCTAATGTCTGTCGTTTCATCCAACATGACCGCAACAAAAGGTGCCTTCCTCAGCTCCTCTTTCATGCTATCCGTTATTACACTAGCAAGAGCGCTGATCAGGTCATTGTGAATCCTTGAAGATGTGCCGGTAAATACTGTTGATGTGGCGAGGTGTGTGTGCAGGTCGCTGTCATATTCTGCCACTAAATCCAGCAACTCTATGTAATTCCCCTTGTTTGATGAAGTTACACTCTCATCGTGACCTCGGAACGGCAACTCCTGCTTGCCCAAGTACACCACACAATTTATCAGGCGTTTCAAAATTCCTCGGTTCCTCTTCACCTTTTCATTATGAAGGATGACACCCCGGCGTTGTTGCTCATCCAGCTGGAGCTCTATCCTGGTGTCCCCAAATGTTTTAAGCCGAATAGTAGCTCTGAGGTGACCTGAAGCATTCTGATGGCGATGTGCTGATTTGGATAAACTTCCTAAATCAGAATATCCATCTCTGGCCCATGACCCACTGTCCGCTCCAAAAAGCAAGCAATCCCAGCAGTACAGCTTGTTCCCTGGTTGATCCGGTCATCCAGTTGTATCTGGCGTAATTGCCGATATTAAAAATGCCTCTCGAACCGTTTGGTTTTTTGAACCAAATTAAGCTGTGGTGTTGGTCGCCCTTTGGTAATTAACTCCAATTTATCCGTGTAACTCATTCTTGAAAAAGACTCGGTTAGTAGTTTCGCAACGATGTCATTACTATCACTAACGTGAGCCATCGTGAATGAACGTATGCTAATTCCGCCTAGCTTGACCCGTTGATATATCACATGCATAAACTTGGCAGCGCAGCGGGCGGAACTTGTCATAAAGTCCGCGATAATAAAGCCCTCCCATTTAGAGGGAAGATATGATTGGTCAATTGTACTGTCACTTGACATTACTCTCTCGTTGTTTTACTATAGCGGGCCCTCTGTGAATCGCATAGAGGGCCAGACGAGCTTTTTTCATGTAACCCTTCACATTCGAACAGAAACTGAACAGGCAGATTCGAAGGATTTATTTCTTTGGAAATTTTATTTTAAATACAATTAAATCAAGTTTTTTCGGTAAAAATATAACAAAAATAATATTTTAAAAATATATATTTTTAAAAAATAATGTATTTTTTAAATGTTTTTAAATATTATTTTTTAGAATATCTTAGGCCCTCAGAGGGCCTAAGATATTCTAAAAAATAATATTTAAAAACATTTAAAAAATACAGGGCCCTGACGGTTAAATCTCACCTCGAGTTTGCTCGGGATATTTCCACTCATTTCGATCGCTGGTGTGCGGCAACTGACGTTGATTCTCACGGGGCGTTGAGGGATCTCGTTATTTTGGAGCAATTCAAAAATTCTGTACCGGAGCACATTGCAGTGTATATTAGTGAGCACGCAGTCAGGACAGCTGCTGAAGCTGCTGCGTTAGCAGAAGACTATGTTCTGACACACGTTGGTGGAGGTGCTGCCATACAAGGCAGTCACGGTGGAAATTCCTCGGGTGTGGGAGCGTGGCCTGGTCGTCCAGTGAGACCTGCTGGGCAGGACAGTGGGTATGTACGTGGTGCACGTGAGCCTGACAATGTGTGTCATTACTGTCATGAGCGAGGGCACTGGAGAAAAGACTGCAATGCATTTAGGGCTAAAGCTGAGCAGGAAGGGACTAGTGGTAGTCCCAGGCCAGCAATGTTCGTGGCACCTGTCGCTGAGCAGGTGACTGGGTGTTTAGACGGTGAGTTGAAACCACAGGGGTCGAGCCCAGAACTACAGTCTTATTTGCCTTTCATGACTGAGGGGTTTGTTTCTCTGGTGGGGAGTGATGAGAAGGTGCGGGTGAAACTATTACGAGACACTGGATCATTTGATTCGTTCATTTTGGCATCTGCCTTACCATTGTCAGAGGACACATACATGGGGTTGTACATTCCGACAGTTGGAATCGGATTAAATGTTCTTCAGGTGCCTATCCATAAAATGATGCTGTGTTCGGATCTGTTTCAGGGTGAAGTAGCGGTTGGCGTGCGGCCCGCTCTGCCCATAGATGGGGTCACGATGATCCTGGGTAACGACATTGCAGGTAGTCGTGTGTGGGCTGATGGGGCACCTCCTGCTATTATGGCGCTAGTGCCCCTGGTTAGTATTAAGCCAGACAAGAGCGAAACTGAGTGTTTAAAGCATGCGCAGTGACACAGGGAATGAAACGTGGGCAGACAGAGGTCATGAGCACAGCTGAAATCGATAAGGCCTCACCTCAGCATGGGGTGACGTGTCTCGAGATTCCCTGGTCGGTTTCTCACGCTGAGCTGTGTTGTGGGCGCCATGTTCTTTGTGGGGTGTTTTCGTTTGTGTGTAGGTACCAGGGTTCCGATGGGGACCCTGATTTTATGGGGGGGGCTGTGACGGCCCCAGAGCCTGTGTGCAGGTGTGTTACAGGTCTTACGGTGGGGTGGAGCTGAAGAGGCCAATCAGCGCGATCGCGGACACCTGGCCGGAGCCGAGGTGCCATTAAGCCCAGCTGCCCGGAGTCACATGGCGGCCCTGACTCTCTCCAAGCCGGCCGCAGGAGGAGTAACACGGCGATCCTCTCCCCTCGTCCATCCATCTTGTACTTTATACTGAACAACCGCAATAAATGTGCCGTGGTTTTTGGAAACTCGTGCACTTCTTGTCATCTTTCCGTTGTGGCCTACGAGCTGGTCATAACAGTGCATAAATATTAAGACTAATTTATTTGGAATCCCCAAAGTAAGCCACTGGCCCCTGCTATGCTTTAGTTAATGCCATATTGTAGTCCATACATAATAATTATGAGAAACTAATCGGGAGAATACATTCACATCAGTTTTTCTTCCAAATCCAGGTTTGATTGATTTGCTTTTTTATTAGATCCCTTGCTTCCTGTGGTCATCATTTCGAAGGGCTTTAATGGTCGTAAAGACGATAAGAACGCAGTATAAATTCAATCAATTTACCATTCTTTCAGCTTCACTAACACGATTCAATAAATTAATGTAATCCTCAACTTTTACTATCTGATTTGGATCATAATTACCACACATTTTCTGAAACAAAGGGTTCTTTTTCATGCAGAATGATTTGTGGTTGTTGTATTAAAAAGAGAAATAACTAAATGGTACAGACTCAGACTTATAGCTGAAAGTTTATAAGGTTTTTGGAAAGAGTCCAACACCAGAACCAGGGTCCAGAGTTCAGCCTGACTGTCTGGCAAATGTTTCAGCAGGTAGGCTACTACCTGAGGCTGGCTGTTTCAAATCCTCTTTTCAATGGCTGGAAACTATTTTTAATGAGAAACACAGGGATGGATAATAAAAAAAAGAGTTGAGAGTTAGAACTTCGCTCTTCTCCAGACCCAATTAGATGTTGGCCTGTTTCTGTCGGGAATCTTTCAGCAGTATTGCGTGGAATCAATGTTTATTACGCTAGCAGCACATCTACTCTCCACAGCAGAGTATCTAATCCCCTGAGAGAAAGAGAGAGAGAGGACACTTGTGTTTGGATGTGACATGCCAGTCATAAGACCCCGCCTCTTAATAAAGTGAGGTATTATGTAATGATGGCTCCTGCTAAATTACTGGATAATGTACTAATTTGTATCAAATTAAATGCAATCAGGCATTAGCATGGTCGTTACAGAGCTGGCCCTGACTGCTGCCATGGAGAATGTCTCCCACATGCTGCACATAAAATCAGGTTATCTGCAGTTCACTGCAGTCTTTTCTACGTACATTAACTGGGGCAGCCTTTCAGGTGTGTAAGCATTCACTCCTCTGCTCGGTGCTGGAGGAGCTTGTGAACGTTTAGATGAAGTGTAGATTTGTTCCAGGAATCTCTGATGGTTTTCTCGTGTGTTTCCTCCATCTTGACGATGGATGAAGTTAATGGTATTGTTGTTGTTGACATTAATCCCTTTCCTCTGTGTCTGATTAGTTCACCCCGAGGAAGACCAATGTGTGGTGGATATGAATTGATTTCTAAACATGAAGCCACATAATAAGGGTTGTTAAACTCGTATGAAGAAATGTGCCTCGACTTTTGGGGAATTCATTCCTTTTTTGGTGACAGCGGTTTCCTAACTGTGCATCAGGAGCACCTTGGAGTTACATCACTGTCAGATACAAGTAGTGATCGTTGTTTTATTTACTAATAGTACATGTAGTTGTTGTGAATAGAATATTGGGAATTTATTGCATAGTATAACCAGAATTTAACTTGGATGAAACATTTTTAAAACAACTACTGCTAACAAACGATGTAAAACTTAATGTCAACATAACTTACTGAGAACTTCCAAAAAAAATATTGTAGAGGTAGCTAAATGTTCTTCATGATGAATTACATCTCAAGCAAATTGAAAGTTTCTCCAAGTTGTTTTTTTTCAGCAAACTGAAACTAACGACTCCCTGGAAAAGGAGGAAAATCAATTAAAAAAAACTTGTGGTGTGCTTTGGAAAATGGAAAGTAAAACAGCAGTTAATGGAGTAAAACATGCAGAACCACCGACATGTCATTTATTTTTATGGATCAAATAATTAATAATAACTTAAGAGTCATTGCTCTCAGCTTTGAGTTTATACTACATGAGGTAGGATAGCTGTGATCTTTAGTTTTCCCCCTGTAAAGGTCTTTGCAGGATGGTAAAAGTCACCACGGGAGTTGGCAAAGCATTTATAAACCCAGAATATTAGCTGTCACTGTAAAACAGTCTCTAATCCCTCACATCCATTTGCATTCTGTGAAATGATTTGTTGCTGCTCTTGAAGCTGCAGGATGGTGCTGAGTTCCATCAGTTGAACATTTTCCGAATGCGCCCAGTCCTTTCGGTCATGGCGAGGAAGCCAATTCTTCCCCAGCTTGTATCATTTGTAATCCTCCCCTGCAGAGACGAAAATCCACTCTCCATGTGAGTCCATGTGGATGAGAATGGAGTGTTTTCGTCATTAGGGGAGATTGAAAACATAATAAACAACCGCAGACCACTGGCTCATGAGCCTCCCTGTCAGTTTGAGGATTTCCCTCTGCCACAGGAATGCTGCTTCAAGCAACGATTGAGCTTTAGTGGATCGTCATCAGCTGTCCTTTTGATTCACTTCACATGCTGCTTATGAGGAGTGTTTTCACTTAAAAAACTTTGCATTGTCCCTGATGAGCTCATCACTTAGACTTCAGCCTGCATCCAGTGTGTGTTGAGACTCAGAGGGCAATGATCGAAAGTATGTGTAAATAAATACAATTCTGAGAATCTTTTACTTTTTTTTACTTTAATCCACTCCAAATCAGAGACAAAAAACTTGTGGTAATTTCAACATTTAAATTAATAAATCAGCAAATAAATCAGGATATAATTAAATCAAAAGGACTATTGATGGAAATGTACATGCTACCCTATAGTATATATATATATAGTCATATCTAATAAAAGAATACATTTGGCCCTGCATTTACCTGCTGCAACATTAGTGATGTGCACATTAATCCATTCATATATTATCTAATGATATATATTAATCTGAAAGGGGCAATTTTGTGCAATGAGAACTTCAATTTATAATTTAAGTACTTTTATAATATTTTGATGCTGTTCATTTTTGTACTTTTAAAAATGTTACATTTTGCATGCAGGACTGTTACGTTACTTGTAACAGAGTATTTCTGCACTGAATGTGATAGAGTACTTTTTCTATTACTGCCTATTGGTGGTTTAACTTCACACAGCAATGTCATAGTGTTTGTGGTGTTTCGATATTTAAAATAAAGTATTTACGAGAAGGTCATCTTAGTATTATGTGCAGAGAATCATGTATGATTCTTCTTTTTCCTATATTTTTAGGGCCATCTTAGGAACAAATGTGCTTTGTTTCATACTTCTGTTTCACACTGGGCACAGCATGTCTAAATATTGTTTTCTATGGCTTAAACAATCTCTCCGTCTCTTCTTCTTTCGTTCCCTCAATCTATCATTTCATGAACGCCAGCACACAATGCAGTAACCAGCTCTCTAAACTTCCACTGTTTGACATCAAGACGAATTGATGAAACCCTACAGAGACACCTGTTGAGAGTTAGATGTATCTCCTGTGAGGTCGAACAAGGACTGCTGTGTATCCATATAGTGCCTCTTACTTCATCTGTCACATGTTGATTCACTCTGGTTCAAATCCAAGTACATTTCTTCATTGGAAAAGCCCTTTTTTTCTACCTCACAGTCCAGATGGTTTAACAGATAAATGAAAGAGGGTTAGAAAAATGGAAAGAAGGAGCCATTCGTTTCTTTAGAAAGTGTGGATTTTCAGGCTGCTACATCATTTACTGTAAACTGTGTATTTTGTTCGGTAAGTGTGAAATGATGTGGTGTAGAGTGGGGTGATTATTTTCCACAGTCCAGTGCACTGGCATCCTGTTTGCTTTCATCTACTGAGCTGAGCTGAGCTAAATATGTCCAAATCTCTCCCCCCTCCTGTCTTCCAGATCCTGTCTTATTTTGATCCCGTGGTTTATTTGGCTTAATCACCCAGAGGAACAAAGAGGGGGCCGAGACCAAGGAAGGCTTTAGAACAATCATATTACCAAGCCAGGAAAAGAAACACACTTCAATCACAAGTTGCTCTTTTCTTTCTGTCTTTCACTGAATCGCTTTCTAATAATAAATGTTCCCGTCGTCAAGTGACTGTCCTGGGGATAAGAAAACATTAAAAATACATTAAACTTATATTTTGCCAACACTTGTTCATCTAGGGACAATAGACACTGTAGCTGTTACGTCATCTCAGTGTTTGCTTTACTCTCAGAGACAAAAGTGCCGTGTCAACTTTCACAATAACACAAACGATGAAGTGCAGGTAAGGAATTAAGCGATGTGTACAAACACATCCAAACAATTTATCTGTTGGCTTCAGAACATCTCCTGTGTTTTCTCTGCCGTGTGCACACTGACCCATTCTTCAGCTCTTGTGTAGTACACGGCTGCCCTCTCACAGCCCGCCAATGTTCCACCATTAAACATTATTTCTGAAATGTGTCTTAACCTCAAAAACCGAATATGACGCTGGATTTTTTACTTGAAATGAAGCAGAGGTGAGCGGTTTTCAGTGTGTCAGGGCTTTGAAAAATGACTTTAGCATGATGTGCATCTGCTTTGTGATTTTAGTCATAAATGTGTTATGTAAGTAGAGCTGTTTTAACTGTTGTCAAGGATGCCCCTTTTTCCCTGTTTGACCGGTCTGTGTTTTGCATTTGATGCTTGATGGAGTGGTGGAGTAATGGAGAATGCTGCATGTATGTTTATATATGGTTAATTGTTATAAAACACCTTATTGAGCCTGAAGTTATGTTTGTATTTTCATTATGGCCCTGGTAAATGGATAGTATATGGACTTCATGGACAACGATAGATATGCTTTCAGGAGTAAATAGGGCTTTAGTACCTTGCCAGTGGAGAGTTTTGGAGACATTTGAAGTGGTAAAACTGGGAATCAATCCGCTAGTCTTTGTCTCCTGAGCCACAGCTGACCCCATTATGTATAGGCGAGAAGGGGGTAAATTGAGCCAGAGGGTAAATTGAACCACCCCCTGTAACCAGGCAACGCCTTATACAGTAGTTGTAATCAAGTGACCAGAAATTATGCAAGCTCCACCCATTTCTCATTGCCTGTGAAAGAGAGATACTCATTGTGGTCTGGTAAGTAAACATTTTTACGAAAAAACGTTTTTTGCTTGTCAAAGTAAATGTTCTAGATGTCAGCTATATCGGCTGTCATGTAAAAAAAAAAAGTATCTAGGTTTAAACACATATTGTATATGTTGATGTGTTGGCAGCGTATTAATCATTAAGCTAAAGATGACTGCATTTTAATGCTAGGCTTTTTTTTTCTAAAATGGTGGCTATGGGGTAAAGTGTGCTTGAGTAGTTTAAGTTTTGGCTGTTGTTGGAGACATTTCTCTTCCTGGAAATTCTTCCTGATACATTTGACGAGAAACTATGTGTATTTCCATCCATCTGCTTTGATGCGTTTTTTTATGTGCACAATTTGCACACTAAATTAGAACATATCTCGACATATTGCAAGAATGTTTTCAAGCTTTACTAAGGTAAAACATTTGAGATTAAACAGAAGCCTTTCAAATGACATCCTCTTGTTGCACCAAACCTAGTTTACTGCTTATCATCATGAACCAACTTGTTATTATCGCATAACATAGTTAATCGAAACATTTTTTTATTTGCGTTTTCTTTTGCAGATTTTCACAAATGTTCATTCAAAATCTGATACACATGAATGGAAACCTACGGAAGAGGATTAGGGCCACATAAAAAAAATGTTTGTGAGGATTTAAAAAAAAATAAATAAAATGTTTTGTTCTGAGAAAAAAGTCAGAATTCTGACTTTTTTCTCAGAACAAAAAAAAATTTTTTTTTTTGGGAGAAAAAAAGCCAGAATTCTGACTTTAATCTCAGAATTCTGACTTTTTTCTCAGAACAAAAAATAATAATATTTTTTTCAAATCCTCACAAAAAAATGTTTTATGTGGCCCTAATCCTCTTCCGTAGGAACCAAACTAAGGTATGTTGGGCTATAAAGATTAAGCTAGAGCCAACGGTTGATGGCTAAAGTTAGCATGGAGACAGGAAACAGGGAAACAGCTAGCCTGGCTCTGTCCAAAGCTAAAATGCACCTACCAGCATCTCTTAAGTTCACAATTTACCACATTATATCGTTTGTTTTATCCGTACAAAAAAAGTGTAAAATGACAAGTTATTCAAAGATATCTAGTAAGCTAGTCAGCTAGCTCTATAGGTGCTTGCTTTCTCTAAGCTAAGCTAAGCTAACTGTCTTCACTTTCAGGCCATAGTTTTTTTTATGTTAAACTTGCATGCAGTCACATATTCACTTCACATATTTGTTTCCCTCTTTTGATTGTTTTATTGTATTTGAATGTCCTTTTGTGGTGTTTTTTGCACTTTGGGTTAATGCTTTTGATGTTTTATGTATTGTATTATATAAGTAATGTGCCTTGACTTGCCTTGCCTTCAGCAGACACAGACAAACATTACCATGACAAATATTTCTTTGTCTTTTAAGGAAAGAAGAGCATATGTGTAACAGAGGCCAGTCTGCACATTTTCATTGCAAGTTGTTAAAATATTGAGAGTATAATAACGGTGCAGTAGCAGTGTGGAAAGTGTGTAAAAAGTTATGATGCAGACATCTGTGTGTTTTGTATCGGCAAATCAGAGCCAGATTCTTGCTTAATGCCCATGGATTTGTCTAGTATCCTATCTGCTGTCAGCTCTAAGCTTTATGCCTGATCCTCCCATGTAATGTGGTTATTTATCTTTCAGATGGAGGATCCATCCCGTTAAGCACCCTTGCATACATAAAGTATGCAGGCTTGCACAGGCACAGTGAGCGTGCACACCAAAAATATACAAAGAAAGGCACACAAAATGAGAACCACATTGAGCTTTTTGGTCGCTCTCTTGTGCTCTCTGAGACAAATTTAGAGTTGATGAATTATATTTGTCTCTTTTCTCTGTCCCCCTAAATCCTACTGCTTCATCATCCACAATACTGCTGTCCCCGTGGGCTTTCCAGAAAAGAAAGATTTGCTGATTGCCACATGGCAGTTGGCTGAACTAGTGGACTGTCTATCAAACGTCATCATATTGCAGTTGTAATTCTCATTTTCACAAAGGAATTATTGGTCCTGGCCTGTGTAAAGAACTGACTGGTATGTCGTTTTTGGACGTTTTTATTCCGTAGATGCAGAAAGATGCACAGATGTTGCTCACCTGCAATGTGTGGGAGTATGTGAAGTTTAAACATTGTTTAGTTCTTTAGCAGCAACCACGACTGTTACAGTAATCAGCAATGAAGTAATCCTCAGAGCTGATCCAAGAAATTCTGTGATTTTGAAATGTATGATTTAATATTATTATCAGCAATTTGACAGAGCGACCTGCAATTATCTACAAGAAAAAGAAAGCGTGTGAGCACATAATGGATGCACAAGTGAAACACAATTGAGCCTTTGACCTCTTAGAAACTGTGTGAATATTTGGAAGAATATTTCCATACATCATATTTTCCACTTTTCTTCAGAATGCAGAGTTGGGCCCGTTTATCTGGCAGGGAAACCAGACTTGCTGCACTACCACATATCCTGACAGGCACATAATGCATTTCCAAAATGGGAGCCGTGTCAGAAGTCAGAGGCATACTTTCATATATGCATCAGTATATAGTTCATATAGAAACGGTCTGATGTACAGAGGCGCATGATTTTCTATAGGGAGGCATGAGTATAGTACGAAAGAATATATGTCTGCAACATTTTCATCCTCAAACTGCTCAGACCTGGTATGGAAGTCTGTAACCTAATAAGCCACTCCATTCATGGCATCAGAAGATTGGAAAAAGCGAGTGGAAAAATATCTAAATTATTGTCTTTTTCCATACTCAAAATCACAACCAGTCCTGGTGAGGAGACTTGCACACTTGACTGAGCCGTGAAGGACCTTCTGCTCTTGGCCCGCAGCAGCAAACATTTTCCAATCGCCTGCACCTACTGGAAGAAGGAATCCAGGATGATGCAAAAGTCATGATCAGATTCAGATTTTGGTGAGTGCTTTTCCACCTGAGTAAAGGTGATCTTTCTTCAGGGAGCGAAGGGGGCTTTAATCTTTTGGATAAGAACCTCCCATTGTTTCCTTCAGTATCATCAACCTATCGGAAACTGTCATGCACATAAACAGAAGACTAGAATATATTATATTTGTAAAGCGCTTTGAGCATCTGGAAAAGCGCTATAATAAATGTAAGGAATTATTATTATTATTAGAAACTAAAACAGATGACTTCAAAAAAATGTTTACCCAATATTCCGGATGTGTGGCGCATGTTGCAGGTGTAGCTGAGGATGTGTTGAGAAGCAATAAAAAAAATGTGAGTCTAGGGCTGAAGTCGAATAGTCCATTTAGCTTAGGAACCTTCCTAACCGTGTGAAATTACCCGGAAGTCCCTCAGTGGCAGCCATGATAAGTGCCATTCGAATTCTCTAGAATGATAGGAAAGGAGGTTTCAAACTTCCTTTATAACCTCCTTTAGCTTAGGAACCACTGGACCTCCCTAACCGAAAGGAGAGGAGAAAATGCTGCCCCACAATGCCTTGCAGCCGCAGCATTTGCGTCACACAACAGTCGGCCGTTCACGGAAACAACCGATTATGATGGAGAAATTATATAATGAAAGTTACGGTGCTTATTAAGCATTTTAAAACGTATGTGGTAAGTTGCCAAAGTGCTTTGTTCTGAACGTTCATCAGTATTATAATCAAAAAGAGAAATATGAACGTTAGTTTTTACTGAAATGATCAAATAAAGTCAACATTTCACTGAGCTGTGTGGGGTTTGTTCAACTTTTAAAAGATGTTTGAATGGTGATATACACAGTGATAGATGTTAAGGACTAACGTTTATAATAAATACATTTGTATTGATTTTAAGATCTTTTCATAGTTCATACAATCATACGTATTGGGATCATTTGTATTAATGTGGACCGGAGGGAGAGGGTGACGAGCATAAGTTTCACTTTCATTTTTTATTTCAATTCCAACTTTGGTCATGAAGAATATGTTTCTCTGTTGTCCCCGTTCATAAAGCAACTGCATCAGAGCACGGTGCAGAGTCTCTAGATGAGTTTACAGTAGTCCCTTGTTCTTATTAAACATCCATGTTGTAGTCCGCTGTATAGAAAACGGTAGTTTCCATAGTTTCCCCACAGCAGCAGACGCACAAAATGACGTCCGCTGGCGCATCATAAACACATCGGATAGTGAAAGTGAATTCGGAGGTTCTCAATTATTTTTCAGCCAAGGACCCCTTACAAGATAGAGAATACACCAAGGACCCCCTCATTCTGATTTGTGATTTTGGGCTATATAAATAAAAATGTACTTGATTTGACTTGTATGTCCCTTGGAATAATCTGACGTAGCCTATTTTTTACACTTCTATAGTCTTAGTTATGTGAAAGAACAACACAAGAGAAATGTATTAGAAAGATATTGGATATGTATTAAAAATATTTGCACCATCTCAACACAGAATACCCATAACACAATCAATCAATTAGCTGCAAGTAACACTGTACCTAAAGAAAATATCAAAGGGAAATCAAGAGAAAAGTGATCATTTGAAGTGCATTTCAGAACACACACACACACACACACACACACACACACACACACACACACACACACACACACACACCCCCTTGTCTTTATTACATTCTGGGGGTACCTGACCAGACCATCCCTTTTGGGGTCCACCCTTTCTGAAGGTTGTACAGCACTGTAAAAAATCAGGCAGAATCCTGAAGTGGACTCAAACAAAGATTTCACTTCAAATTATCAATCAGAGAAAGTAGAGGTCACTGACCGGACTATAACCCGTTTCATGGGGTCTTGTCAGGTACAGAGTTACAGGAGGGGTCCATATATACACACTGTCTGGCTTTTAGTCATGTGTGGGCTCCAAAAATACACTGTCTGGTTTAAAACATTAGTGGGGCCACTTAGCACACTATTACTAAACTTACTTTAGGTAACAATGCAACACCTTTGACTGTCAAAGTGAGGGCTATCATGATGCAGAAGGATTTTCACCTTTAGTGTCAACATGTAGCTTCTGTTGTGACACAATTATATTGAATTCTAATGTACTGATAGCATTTTAATTAATATTTAAGCTATTATAGTAATGCTTTTTATTAGTCTATTTAACCACTGTGACACAGGGATGTCTGAACTCGTGAATGAGACTCACAGTACATTTACTGAATTTGCATCAGTTTCCTTCTTTTTAAATAAAGAGGGGTTTGTGTTCTAAGTGTTAATTATTGGAGCCATACAAGTCATGCTTATATGGGTATTCTGCTTAAATAGTCATTGTAATTTCCATTTAAGCAATACAATGTTATTATAGAGCTTTCCAGTAAATACAAGGAGATTGTCGTTATTAGACTTTTAATTATTACATACAATACATTAGAATACATTATTATTTATATATATAAATATATATATATAATAATGTATTTCCAGATGATATTGAAAGAAATGAGGAAATTGAAAGTGTGAAAAGGGACAAGATTAAATTGTGTTAAGAAAAAAACAAGATAATATGAGAAACTAGAAGAGATGATAAGGTAGTTCAGATAAAAGGAAGATTACAAAAAAGAGATGAGATTTAAAAAGCATAGAGGTAAGAGAAGATCAAATAGATAAGGTTGAAGAGGAAATTGTGAATAATTCAGATAAAAGAAAAGGAGGTATTAAGAGGACATCAATGAGGGGTGAAAGAAGAAATAAAGTATGATCTATATATTTGTATAGCGGCTTACATCAAACATTTAACTTTTGCAAGCATTACACTTTACAAAAAAAAGTAATGGTGTCAACAGACATCAATGATCACTTTACATTTTGCTCTTGAGAGCTGTGATCCGATTCTTTATATAAAACTTTATGGCCAACCAATTTCTTTGTTTGAGTGCTTCTCCTTCCATTTTAAGACACTTATCGCAGTCGCTTTTCCGCGGAACGCGACATGTGTTAATGAAAGACATCAGGTGCTTCTCAACAGCTTGGATCTCCGTCTTTTCCCACAGCTTTTTCTTGAAAGGCTGCCGACCTGTATAAAAATGACAAATACATTATTTTGTGTTTTTCTGGAACTGCTATGGAAAAGTTATTTGAGAGAAAAAGTTGATAGAATTTATTTACATATTATGCTACTTGTTGTTATTCATATATGTCTGTCTCCATTTTAGATTCTGTAATAAATCAATATTGATTGGTACAAAACATAATAATAAATAATAATACACATTAAGTAGTTTTACGACATTCTCCCAGAATGTCAGCAATAATTCTGATTCCATTGACCTTAGATATAAAGGGCATGGTGGCAGAAGTTTCAGAGGAGAATATCTCAAAACCTCACACATGAACGTACCAAAACTACTGCATAATCCTGGTGGTAAACTAGGTATACATTTTCTAATGCGTTTGAAATAACCCCTTTACATTGGATTGAAACAAAGAAAAATTGCTAACCAGTAACTGAAAATGCAAGAGAGCAAATAGAAGATGCAAATGTAATGTTATATATTCAAAAGAGTTAACATTATACACAAGCAGATCTAAAATATGTCAGTGTAGAACCATGAAACATTACATCAACCATGGAAGAGCATTCAGTAACAAAGTATGGTCTAAAAAGTTGACCTTTTTGCCTTCTCTCGGTCTGTGGTTGAGCGGCTGGTGGAGGTGTCATAGGGCCCTGTTGCGATGCTTCATCTGTATTGCTCCCATCTCTCATTGATGTTTTATTCTCCATCTGAGTGGATGTGACTTGACCCTCTGAAAACCAGATATACAAAATAATCAATTAGGTGTTGCAAGAAAATTAGATATATCCCGAGCTAAAACTCGAAGATTTGATCCGGCTTTTTTAATGGGTGTATAATGGCTAAAAACTAAATCTGATCCTTTCTTTACTGTGTTCTCCCTCCTTTTGTCTATCCAAACAAACTTGTATTTCTACGCTGCTTTTATTTACAGCTGAGCTCTACAGTGTGAACTGGTTTGTAATATCAAAGTAATCTTTCATTCATATCACATCAGTAATTTAAGTCTTACAATTTTGTATTTATGACGCAATATTTAATGTATTTTTATGAAGTAGCTCAAAAATCTAATCAAAATTATGGTAATTACAACAATCTGACTTGCCGATACAGCTGATACAAAATGGTACAGTACTAAAGATCAGGATCATATCCCACAAACTTGAATGGGACATAGCATGGTCCCACTTAAAAATAATATTTACCTTGTGAGTCTGACTCACACGCTGTCTCATTGTCGCTGTCCATGTGCACATTCTCTGTAAGTTTGGGGTTAGAGGAAGGAGAATGAAGAATTAATTAGTAAAAGCACAATGCACTTAAATGTAGTCTGACATGCTCCAATAATGCCCTAGAAAAATATGTTTTTATATACAAGTACAATTACTTTGGAAACAGAAATGGTATTTCATGTATGAACATGTAAAAAAAGATTTTACCCTCAGGATCAATGCTGATGTCATCCAGGGTCTTGCCCTGGAATTCTGCCAGGCGTCCTTGCTCCAAGGCCATGAGAAGTTTGCTGATCTTAGCAAGCTGAAGGGTGCCCTCAGGAAGTCTGTAGAATTGCCGATGCACTCTTATGTCATGGCCGAGAAAATCTGCCAACAGATCCAGCTCTGTATTGGTGAGGTTAAGAACCTGAGACAGAGTTCCAGTTTGCTTGCGTAGTTTTGTAGAGGTGAGACTTTCAGGATTCTTTGCACCACAGGCCTTGGCAAAGTATCGAAGGCAATCAGAACCGCGGTAGCAGGTGAAAGCAGATGGTCTCGCAAACAAGTAAATGTTCTCCTTAGGAACCCCACATTCCTGCCGTGTGCCGACGAGCAGATCCAGTGCTTGCTGCATTGCTGGGGTCAAAAGCACAGGGACCTTTCTTCCCCTCTTTCCTCTTATCTCTATCCTCCTGAAGTATTTACATAGTTTCTTTTCTAGTTCTGACAGGGCAATATTTACATCTTCCTGAGGATGTGATGGATTTTGAGACAAATATGCAGATAGGGGCATTTTTGAAACTTCCCCTGCTCTACGTCGGTTAAACAAAATGACTTGTGTCAAAGTGACCTTTGCTAACTGTGACCATGTCTGGGGAGATTTATCTGCAGACAATTTAATGTGAACTTCTTGTTGTTGCACATCTAAATAAGAATGGAGAGTCTGGACATCTTTTGTAAATGGAAGCAACTGAGGAGCATTCCACTTGGATTCCTGAAGGGTTCTCAGTGATGCGGCAGAAATCAGTTCATTCCATCGGGTTTCATATACTCTGCGGAACGTACGAGCATCTTTAGCTGCTGAGTAGTTGCTCTGTACGTTTGCACGGCTTTCAACAAGCATTGACATCTTTTTCAAGCTATGTCCAATTTTAAGGGCAAGACTTGGGCACTTGTATGTATTGGTTTCACTGTCGAAGCCTGCCACATGTTTGACTGCTTGCACAACATACAAGAAATTGATGGGTTTGACATGGTCTTGAATAGTCTTTAAGGGAGTAGTTTTCCTCGAACATACCAGAAGCCTTCCAAGCTCCCTCAGTTTCTGCCGTATGTATTCATGCTTGCCAACATCATATCCAAGCCTGTTATACAGGTGCTCACCATACTCCATGATACATACATCAGATTTGACAGCAATGTAAACATCATCTTGAACCATGTTGTTTAACAGCTTCCAAAACTCTATCTTGACGCCAGGTGGTGGAGGTACTGCAAATGCAGACAGGGCCTGGGCACGGGTTTTGCCAGGTTTTTGTGGAACATCGGGTTTGAACTTGCAGATCTTCATGTGCCGCCAAAGGAGTTTCTTGTTGAACAATCCTTGACAATAAACACAATGGAGGAAATTCTGTGCTTGAGAGTCCTGTTTGGGTTGCTTGCGAGAAACAAGATTTCCAACGCCAGCATTTAATACCTCAACATTGTGGGCGAAGTTGCCTCTGTTTCTTAAATGTTCCAAATGCATTCTTCTTTCTTTAGAACCTTTTGGGAAGGACAAAGCCTGTGCAACGTCAGGCTTATTGTGATGCGCACGCTCCAAATGCCTTGCTATTTTTCCAACTCCTATCTTACAGTACAAACAATATTGCTTTTTGTTGTACATTCTTGACCCATCCTCCTTTTTACAAACGGCAGGTATGCAAGGTGAACGTGAACCTTCAGCTACTTTGTTTTCTGTAAGAAGGGAAGAGGCCCCATCAGGAAGATTTGGTTCAACTTCATGTGTCGAGTTTTCAGATACGGATCCAGTGTCGCCAACTATACTCTGTTTTAACGATTTACCCCCTATGGTTCGTGTTGTGGGACAGGATCCACTGCCTAAACATTGTCTTTTGCGTTTAATAATGGAATTGCTATCTCTTCTTGAGGGGGAGCGTCCTCTCTTGGGCACCTGCTGTGAAGA